AAAGATTAAGAATCTTAAAATGTTTATGCTTTGACCCCATAATTTCTGCTTCTGGGAATTGAACCTAAGAAAGTATGGTAGAAGCTTGCTTAATCAACTCCAGACTAATTATGCTCTCCATTCTGTTTGCAAATATATTGAGTGATACTCCTGTTTTCCTATTCTGTGGTGTGGTCCTACACTCTGCTTCAGCCAGTTTGCCTCCAGCTACAGACCCCTGGGAACATAGCTGTCATTGAACAAGTTGGGTCTATTACTCGTTGTAGGGAGGGAACATGCATATGGGAAATTGTGGGGTATTTCAGTAGGAGTGTTCAAAAGGATTTATTATAGGATTTGGGCTTATATAAGGAAGAGGGTCTTTGCTCTGGATGGGATATTGTTAGGATGTGGGCTGATTCTTTGGATATCTTAATCTTATCTAGGAGGCAGGCTGAATAGACAGAAACTGAAGCTACACCTGCTGGACAAGCAGCAGTCACCCCTGTCAGCCAGGAGAGGGGGATGTTTGGTGTTTTGTAGGTTGCACAATGACCTTATTTTTTGTCCAGACAAAATTTTGAAGTGTTTTTGTTTTGTCTCACTTTTTCATGGTCTCAGAGTGACCTTGTCTGATGTTGATGTTTTGTGAGATTGTTTATGTCCAACAGGAGAATAGTGTGGCCTAGCTTCCCCTAGGCCCGCTTCAGACATCATTAAGGCCTAACTGTCGTGTCAAGCAGTTTCCAGATGTTAGGGGCAGCTTTTTTCTTCCTCTTAGTAAGAATCAGTTGAAACCTGTTTATATCCATTGTGCTTTTTGTAATTATAGAATTTAATTAGATCGTATATAAAACACCTATATTAGTGTAGAAAGAAAGAGGGATTATTTCAATGAAAACTTGAACATTTTTGGAAAGACTAAGGTGAAATGCTAAAAACGTTTTTTGAATTGCTATTGAATTAGGGGTGGGTAAAAGGCAAAAACAAGTAGGCCATTCAGAACACATTTTTACCAGAAGCGTTCTTTGTACTGATTGCTTTACAAGTATCTTCTGGTTCTCAGAAGTTAAAGAAACCCACATTGTAAATTGAAGTGATACATCATAAGTATGATGTATACAATAAAGATAATGTGGAACTCTTTATCACCAGAGCCACAGTCACAGACAAGGAGTTGGCCTTGTAACAAAGATTAGTGCATTAATATACTTTGATATGTTTTAAGGTAAAAAAAAGTTTGAGGTATGTATATGTTCTTTTTTTGATTCCTCACTCGAAGCAACATTTTAAATTAACCTATCAACTATAGTTCTGATTGTCAGGTAACAGGCTTTTACTATGCAAAAAAAAAACAAAAAAAAACTACATGAATGAAGATTTAGGTGCAAAATTGTTCATTAAAACTTTATAATAGTAAAAAAAAGAAGAAAGTGTTTATTAATGGAAGTGATGAAATTATAATCAAAGGTGAAATAGTATATAGTTATTAAAAGTAATTTTTCAGATAGTCTTAACAAGAAAACATGCTCATATAGTATGAAATGTAAAGAGCAAATCACAAAACCAAATAAACTATGACCAGAATTTTAAGAATGAATATGTAAAAATTTTAAGTGCAAACAAAGTGTACATATATAATTTGGAAGGAAATGAACCAGGAAATTGACAGTTTACCCCAGATGCTGGGATTTCAGAGGTTTTAAATTTTGTTCTCTATGCTCTTCTATACTTTCCAGGTGTTCTGTGATGAGTATATATTATTATTATTGTTTGTTTGTTTTGTATGTTTTTTTAATCAGGGGGAAGTATTTTTTTTTCCTTTTAAAAAAGTTTTTAAATTCCACTTAGTTAATATACAGTGTAATATTAGTTTCAGGTGTACAATTTAGTGATTCAACACTCCCATACAACACCTGGTACTCATCACAACAATGGGAAATACTTTTTTTTTTAGATTTTATTTATTTATTATTTGAGAGAGAGAGAGAGATTGAGAGAACGAGTGGGAAGAGGGGCAGAGGGAGAAACAGACTCCCTGTGGAGCAGGGAACCCGACTCAGGACTCAATCCCAGGACCCTGGGATCATGACCTGAGCCGAAGGCAGATGCTTAACCAATTGAGCCACCCAGGCGCCCAAGGGGAAATACTTTTCTTAAGAAGAGTCCCTGGATTGGCAATTTTAGAAATAAATACCTGTGTTAATACCAGTGTGGCTCTTTGCTCAGTGTGTTTCATTCAGTAATGGAAGCTCAATGTCAGAAAAGCTTTATGTTCCCAAACGAGAAAAAAAGCAAAGGCACGGGCATGATTTTTTTTTTAGGTTCAGGCTCCTATGGATTTAATTGACAGGCTAATGTTTCTGACTTCTAAAGCCTAGTGTAGTAGACCTTATCTCTGAATTAAGCTTTTGTTGATTGCTCTAATCCCCACCCAAAAGCAAAAGCTCCTTGTTTATACTCTGTTAGTGTTTACCATGCTTTGCTTAAAACAAAAACTGTGCATGTATCTTTCTCTTCCTACATTGCATGGTCTTTGGAAGGAAGAAGAGAATGACCACCTTTGTATTAATAGCTTTACCTTTGTTCCTCAGTAATTGGCTAAATGTCTTGAACACCTGTACAGTAGTAACCCCCACAATATGAAGATTTCCTGAAGGAGTATGTCTTAAAGTATCAGAGTCGATAGTAAAAAAAAAAATATGTTCTCGAGGGCCCCCTCTAAAACCTAGCAGTCTAAGTGACAGGAAAGCCAGCCTATCAACAGCAGACTTTACATTTCGCCTGATGATTCTGGACTGTTTTCACAGTAGAACCATGTGTGAACATATAAATTGTTATAGCCATTTTGGAAGCATTTGGGCAATATGTTATAGCATTTGGGCAGTATGTCTATCAAAATTGAAAATGCACATCACCTTTGCATTTCTAGGAATTTACCCTCCAAATATATTTGCACAAAGTAGACAGTCATATATGGACAAATATCCTTATTTAGAACACTGTTGTTTCTCAATAGGAGAGTGACTAGAATATTATGCTGCCATTTAGAATGAGGTAGGTCTCTTTGTATTTATGATGATGATGTCTGTCCTTTTATTATTATTTTTATAAGTAGGCTCTACATCCAACATGGGGCTTGAACTCACAACCCCGAGATCAAGAATCGCATGCTCTACTGACTGAGCCAGCCAGGCACCCCGATAATGATTGCTGTTCTTTATTAAGCCAGGCACCATGCTATGCATTTGACATATTTTATCTGATAATTCTTATAACAACTATATGGCAGGCACTATTATTATCTATATTTTGCAGATGAGAAACTGAGGCACAGCGGTTAAATAATTTGTGCATCACTTGTAAGGGGCAGACCTGGTATTTGAATCCATATAGTTTGAGGTTAAAACAGGTTGCACTTTTAACCTCTAAAATGCATATCCTCTATTCTACTGATGGAGAAAGATCAAGATATATATTATTTTGGGGGGCGGGGCAGAGAGAGAATCCCAAGCAGGCTCCATGCCCAGTGTGGAGCCCAACTCAGAGCTCCATTTCACGTCTCTGAGATCATGACCTGAGCTGAAACCAAGAGTTGACCACCCAACTGACTGAGCCACACCGGTGCCCCAAGATATATATTAAATGAAAAGCCGAATTGAATGTAAAATATGCGGTCATTTGTGTCTTAAATTTTTTTAAAAGTGACAGCACACACTGGAAGGATATAAAAGGAACAACAGTGGCTTCTTAAAAGGAGGGAATGGATACCCTTTCACTTCATATGTTTCTCTCTTGTGTGTGCTTAAATAATAGGCATATATAACTTACAAATTTTTAACTAAAATAAGTATCTGACCTTTTGAAAAATTGTAATACTTAATGAAGACATGCTATAGTTATAAGTCACGAATGCTTAATCCATCTCTACTTACCTACTTCAGTATAGAGTTCCCCTTATTCTAATTTCCTATCACCCTCTCTCAGTTCAGGATAATAGCTTCTTTTAAAACTCACTTCCACTGAGATTCATTGTTTACCTGAATTCGCTGTCAGTCCTTAAGTTTTTGATTGACATTGTACCTCATTTTTGTATTTTATCCCTTTAGATCACCTACATTTTTTATTGTTTCCCAAAGGATTTGAGACTGCTTACTGTAATATATAAGTACAATTATTTTGGCTAGGGGCGCCTGGGTGGCTCAGTCAGTTAAACATCTGCCTTCAGCTCAGGTCATGATATCAGGGGCCTGGGATGGAGCCTACTTCTCCCTCTCCTCTCCCCCTGCCTTCCGCTCTCTCTGCCTGTGCTCTTTCTCTCTCTCTCTCTCTCTCTCTTTGTCAAATAAAACAGAAAAAAAAAGCCCAATTATATAAGCTAATATAGTTCTACAGTTGAGGTGTAAAGTCAACTTTTAGTTTCCTGGAAGTAGGAAAAAAGTTTAGAGTTCAGTAATTCTTGTGATTTGACAAAAGAACACATAATCATTTTGTTTAAAAAAGCAAAACAAAACTTTTTTTTCCTTTTTCTAAATTTTGAGAAGACATCTTTCATGGACCCTTTTATGCAGTTCATACTTCTTCAGTTGTTTGTTGTTTTTGTCTACCCAACTAAATTATAAGCTTCCTTAGGACAAATTCCATTTTACTCCACACTATTTTTGTTCTATCTATACCTAGAAAAATGCCCTATTTTCATAGTTGAAATTATAAATTAAGCAACAACTGCAACCCAGCTACATTTCAAAGATTATATTACTGCCGCTTTTCAAAGATTCAATCTTTGAGCAATTTAGAAATTGATACTACTTTCATCCTTCTCAGCAGGGAATCTACTCTGATCACCCTCAAAAATCACAATTTATTTCTTAGTGGGTGGCTTTTACCAGGTTCTTTTGTAGCCACTACTTATTGAGTGTGTAATGTAAAAAGAATAGGAAATTTGTTTGAACTGGTGTTTTATGAGTTAAATATTTTTAAATATGACCTATAGGTTTCAACCACATTTTTCTTTCTTTTAGGCCAAGTCATCAAGGCATGGGACATTGGGGTGGCTACCATGAAGAAAGGAGAGATCTGCCATTTACTCTGCAAACCAGAATATGCATATGGCTCAGCAGGCAGTCTCCCCAAAATTCCCTCAAATGCAACTCTCTTTTTTGAAGTAAGTCTGTGTGTGATGTTGCCTTGTTAGCATATGTTCTACTATAGTGCTGGCTCTGAAGCAACAAACGGGCAGAGGAACAAGGAACTAGGCTTGCTATTGAGAATCAGATCCAACTTATTTATTTTGGAGCTTGGCTTCTTGAATTGTTTCCCACAAACCCAAGGGGTGTGTGCCAGTGCTTTCTTAGAAACGTGTTTCTGGCACAGAAAGGTCATATCCAAATAAACAAAAGACACCAGGCTTAAGAAATAAAGATTCTGGTCAGTGGGGTGAGTATAACATACTCAAAATTGACCAGAAGACAGGTTGGAAACGTGGGAGGTAAGCGTTGAAATGTACCTAAACCAAATTGTAAGATATTTTCATATTAAACAGGCTTACTATTTGTCACAGATCTCACTTCTGAATCATTAGAAGCAGTAGGTGGTGATAATGTTATTCATCCTGTGTTGAATTACATATATTTGTCCAAATCTGATTAAAAAAAAAATTAAGGGAGGAAATGCCTGAAACATCATAACTAGGTAAAAAACACCTTTACTTGGTCTTAGGCCTGATTCATAAGATTTATTTTTACATTTAAAAAGGGAATTCCATGAATCTGGGGTGGAAAGGTGGTGGCCTTTAGAGTCAGACAAAACAGTTCTGGGCCAGCACCTTGTAGCTCTGGCTTTGTGCCCACAAGGCAGCTTTCCTAGTATTTCCTGTCTGTCTTTGCGCTGCAACCCCACAGGATGCAGTCCTAGACGTTATCGTTACGTGAAGGCTCTTTCCAGCTATTGAAAGTGCAGTCTTCCTTTTTTCCTACTTTCCCAATAACTGAGATGCATTAGATAAATATAAAAGAGTTTTATTTTGTAGAATGAAAGGAAAATTGGTTGCCCTTGTCTTTAAGTATATTAAGTTGGCTCTGTTTGGTCTTTTCTCAGCCAAATCCTTTTTTCCTTTCTAGATTGAGCTCCTTGATTTCAAAGGAGAGGATTTATTTGAAGATGGAGGCATTATCCGAAGAATCAAACAGAAAGGAGAAGGATATTCAAACCCAAACGAAGGAGCAACAGTTGAAAGTAAGTATTGCTGTGACAGCAATACTTAGTCCTTAAAAATTGGGTTCTATTTATGGGGATAAAATGGAGATTTCTTTCTAAAAATCTGTTTATAGTAATAAACAATTGCATATAGCCCAAGAATAGTTTTGGGGTTTTTAAAAATTTTTTTTTTTTTAAGATTTTATTTATTTGACAGAGAGAGACACAGCGAGAGAGGGAACACAAGCAGGGGGAGTGGAAGAGGGAGAAGCAGGCTCCTCGCTGAGCAGGGAGCCCGATGCAGGGCTCGATCCCAGGACCCCGGGATCATGACCTGAGCCGAAGGCAGACGCTTAACGACTGAGCCACCCAGGCGCCCCCAAGCCCAAGAATAGTTTTAAATTCAACATTTATTTCATAGTGACTTTATTTGGTAAATATTCATCCAGCATGTCCATGCCAGGTACTGTGCCAGCTTCTGTAGACCCAGAAAGTGAATAAAAGGTAATCCCATCCATCAAGTCCAAGTCTATGGACTCCTTCGTGTGCCAGCAACTGTATTAGCTGCCTTACATATTTATTCATTTATTTCTCACAATAACCTTACAAGATAAGATTTATTATCCCCAGGTGAGAAAAGTGAGTTCAGGGAAGTTACATAAATTGCCCAAGGTTACAGGGTTAACTAAACAGAGCAGTTAGATTGCAGTGCACTTCAGAGCTATCAAACCCATTTCACTGGCTTTCCTCAAGAAGAAAAAGTTCATTTTAGTTAGATCAAAATTGGATAATAGTGAACTGAGGGTTGCTGGAGTGGGGGGTGGGGTGGGAAGGAGGGGGTGACTGGGTAATAGACACTCGGGAGGGTATGTGCTCTGGTAAGCGCTGTGAATTGTGCAAGACTGTTGAATCTCAGATCTGTACCTCTGAAACAAATAATGCAATATATGTTAAGAGAAAAAAAAAAAAGAAGGTAGCAGGAGGGGAAGAATGAAGGGGGGGAAATCGGAGGGGTAGACGAACCATGAGAGATGATGGACTCTGAAAAACAAACTGAGGGTTCTAGAGGGGAGGCGGGTGGGAGGATGGGTTAGCCTGGTGATGGGTATTGAGGAGGGCACATTCTGCATGGAGCACTGGGTGTTAACGCACAATGAATCATGGAACACTACATCTAAAACTAATGATGTAATGTATGGGGATTAACATAGGAATTAAAAAAAATTTTTTTTAAATTGGGTAATAGTGTTCATTTTATTCTAGGAGATCTGGCTTCAAGTTCTGCTTTGCCATTTATTGGGTGACTTAAAGCTATTCCATTTTTTCATTTGCTAAGTTGGGAGTAAGGATACTACTGAGGACTGAGATACCTGATCACTCCTCCTCCCTCCCAGAGCACGTTCTGTATACCATCATGTACCCTATTTGTCATCATGTACCCTATACTATAATCAGTGTTTGCCCCTTCCCCCAGTATACAACTTGAGGACCAGAATCTTTCTTCATCTTTTTGTTTCCAGCATCACCTACAGTGCCTTACACACATTTGGTGTTTGGTAGATGCTCTCTGCATGGATAGATGTTTGAAAGATGCCACTCACTGAGCTGAAGTACTTTAAAAAAGAGTTGTGAGAAAAACATGGAAAAGTACTTCCACTAAGAAAACAATCAAAGCACCAAACAAGGATGGCAATATGAATTCTGATAAAAGGCCTATTTAAAGTGAAGAGCTCATTTGGAACTGTAAACTAAAATGGTTGATTTTCTTATCTTTACTTTTGTATATACTATTTGAGACCCGTGTTTCGTTTCTGTGAGTCTGGCAAATTAGTTCAAATTGAGTTATTCATTTAGTTGGATACAATTATAAGTAGTATTACTGTACTATTGCAGTTGAAGTGTTTAGGTAGCTATCATTCGTGGTTAAGTTTTGGAATAAATGAAGAGGAACTCAAATGTTGGAGAAATACCTAGACCAGGAGTGAGAACTAGGATTCTGGCTTCAGCTGACTCTAACTAGCCGTTGCCTCTCTGGGTGTTAACTTTCTTCCTTTCCGGTGACACAGGGGTAGATGTATTGATTTCTATGGTCCTTCTAGTCCTGAACATTCCATGACAGAATTCTAAATGTTTATGAAAGTTACAGGGATGATAGAAAATTATCTTTAGCAAGTACATAAAAGGTTATCTAGAACATACATTTTAATTTTTTATTATGAAAAATTTCAAACATTTACAGAAATATTTTTCCCTATGATATAGTAACTCCCCAAATTCAACAATTGATAATGTATATTTTTAAACTGGAGGTTTTTGGCAACCAAAACAAAAGGAAGATCTTTCCCCAGTTATAGACAGTGCCGCAAAGCTACCACTGCAGAGTTCACTTTGGGGCAGGCTAAATTAAATCAGATCTTGCTTTTAGTAATAATTTCAGTGGGAGTCTTTATTATGTAGTATTTCAGTGGGAGCTTTCTGTTTTAAAATAATTTTCAACTTATAGACAAACTGTGAAACTAGTACAGAGAATTCTCTTATATGCTTCACCCAGCTTCCCCTAATATTCACATCTTCCCTCACCACAGTACCTCTGTCAAAGCCAGGAAATTAACCTTGATGCAATACTATTAACTGTTTTGCAGATCTTATGTGAATTTCATCAGTTCCCACACTGTTGTTCTTTTTCTGGTCCTTGGTCAGATTCAGGACCCTCTAATAGTAGTCTCTCCAGTCTGTGACAGTTGATCAGTCTTTCTGTGATTTTCATGACTTTAACACTTGAAGACAGCTGGCTGGTTATAGAATTTACTTCAGTTTGGGTTTGTCTGATTAAACTGAAGTTATTGAAAAATACCAAATAAGTGGTGATGTGCCCTTCTCAGTTCATCATTATCAGGAGGTACATGATAGTGATGATATTAACTTGGGTCCCTTGGTTAAGTTGGGGTCTGCCATGTTTCTCCTTTGTAAAGTTCCTATTTTTGCCTTACTAAGTATCTCATAGGGAGAGAACTACTAGAAGACCATGCAGAGACGAGATCTTCTTTTACATCACACCTTCACATGATGATTTTAGTGTCCATGAATGATTTTTGTATGCAGCAGTTATTACTGTAGTATTTGCCTAATGGTGATTTTTCTATTTCCATTGTTCTTCTACAATTTAATTGGAATTCTGCTATAAGGAAGAGCTGCCTCTCCTCCCCTGTTTATTCAGTTATTTATAATAGTATGGACTCATAAGAATTTATTTTATTCTGTAGGTTATTATTCATTGCTATTCTTTTTTAAAAGTTTTTTTTTTTAAGTTTATTTATTTATTTATTTTAAAGATTTTTTATTTATTTATTTGACAGAGAGAGACATAGCGAGAGCAGGAACACAAGCAGGGGGAGTGGGAGAGGGAGAAGCAGGCTTCCCGCGGAGCAGGGAGCCCGATGTGGGACTCGATCCCAGGACCCTGGGATCATGACCTGAGCCGAAGGCAGACGCTTAATGACTGAGCCACCCAGGCGCCCTCATTGCTATTCTTATTTGTTGCTCAAATTGTCCCAAGTTTGGCCATTAGAAGGTTCTTTTCAACGTACCTCCTTTGGTTTTTAAGCACGTCCTTACCTTTTTTTTTTTTTTTTAAGATTTTACTTATGGGGCGCTTGGATGGCTCAGATGGTTAAGCATCTGCCTTCAACTCAGGTCATGCTCTCCAGGTCCTGGGATTGAGCCCCATGTCAGGCTCCCTGCTCAGTGGGAAGTCTGCTTCTGCCTCTCCCCCCCTCCCTGCACTCGTTCTCTCTCTCTCTTAAGTGAATAAATAAAGTCTTTTCAAAAATTATTTTTAAAAAAGATTTTATTTATTTTAGAGAGAGTGAGCAAGGGGGCGGGGCAGAGGAAGAGAATCCCAAGCCGACTCCATGCTGAATGCGGAGCCCGACCCAGGGCTCAGTCCCACAACCCTGAGATCATGACCCTAGCTGAAACCAACAGTTGGAGACTTAACCAGCTGAGCCACCCAGGTGCCCCAGTACTTCCTTACTTTTGGTACAAGATGCTCTAGGCTCATTTTGTAACTTCCTTGCCCTGGGACTGGAATCAGCCATTTCTCCAAGGAGCTCTGATTTCTTTTATTAGAGAACGGTATTTAGAAAGCAAGATCCGGGTGCTAGGTGTACTCATACTATGGAATGTTATTGCTTCTAGAACCTCTTAAGCAAACAGAGTTAGGAAGTATATGTGCCTCAATATGCCTATATACACAACTATATGTATTTTTTAGTAGTCTGTGTATATATTACAAGCTATGAGTACATACTAACACTTCCAGTTCCAGTCCAACACCACAGGTTCATTCTCACCTTCTCCCCTTGCTTATTTAAAACTGGTTTCTCCAGCAGTGAGAAACATCACTCTCATTATCCACAATATATTTATTTGCTTAATTGTAGTTTATACAGAAAGTAGTTTTAGAATTGCTAACCCACACCCTGTGAAAAACAAACTTGCTAAATATAGGAAATATTTGTGTATAGTTCCTTTAGTCATGAGCCTTAGAGCATACATTGAAAACACTGCTTTCCAACTTAGGTTAGTTCTTTTTCCTCACTCCCTTCAGTGTGGTTATGCTATTCCTTTATAATACAGTTACGTTCATTTGTTATGTTTGTGTTCCGCACGCACTGGTTGATGTTAACTATTTATTTGTGTTTGGGGTGGATGAAACATTACCATGATTCTAAACTATACAAAAAGATACACACAGAAGTGTCCCCCACCCCCCATCTGTACTAACCTGTTCCCATTTCCCCTTTATTTCCACCTTCCTTCCTACCTATTTTCATTGGTCACCAGTCACATTAGCTCCTGGCTTATACTTCTTGTATTTCTTCTGCAGAAATGAGCAGGTACCTGTATTTTTTCTCTTACATCCCCTTCCCTTAATATACTATCAGTGGATTTTTAAAAATATTTGAATAATTCTTTATCTCATTTTACTTTTCCTGTTTCCAAATATCTTAAGAAAGGATAATGACTGATTTTTGTCT